CTTTTTTGGTACTGATTGACAAATTTTTTGTGCATGTTTTTTTCTTTTCAAATTTCATGGAATATGAATTGAAAAGATTTTGTTTTTCTGGGTTGGACAAAATGCTCTTTAAACATGCATTGTTTAGGAATGGTATGGTTGATTATATCCGCTATTTATTCCCTGATCCTTTAAGATTTGGATTTTAAACATAATGAGCAACTAAAGTCCTCTGAGTTTTTTAGAAATCCAAGTTCCCTTTCCGTATATTTGCGCTTATTGGATACCTATTTTTTTAAAGAATTATTACAGTGGGCTGATTCCTTTTCCCTTTTGTTAGCACTTGCATTGTTGCATAGCTGTGCAGATTTTAAGTCCTTTTCCCCAGTTAAAATTGCTTATATGATGTAGTTGGACTTGGGATGCAAAATTCAATGTTATATCCTCTTTTTATGTTTTGTGATAGATCATAATAACTTCAAACAAGTTACCCTTCCTGCTTCCACGTTAGGAATGAAGTCAGTTATTTTGTTGGTTGCTGCTGTTTTGGTTGTATCTATGCATTTTTGCCATATCTAGTGCAAAATACCTGTTGTATTCCATTGTGATTATTGTTTGATGCCCTTGATTGGTTTTGTGCAGTCACTATTATCAGTTCTGATCTCTTTTTGATGGTTTTAACAGGCAAGTGTGAATGATCTAATGGAATCTAAATGTGGAAAGAAGAAGTCTAGTAGTAGTAAATCTTTGTTTTACGAAGCTCCCCTCGGTTACAGCATTGAAGACCTTCGACCTCACGGTGGAATCAAGAAATTCCGATCTGCTGCCTACTCCAACGTGAGTTTGAACGTAGAATCAATTTTAGTTGATAATGTTAGTTGATGTTCACAGTTTCTATGTACCCTAACCATTGTTCTTTCAATGTTTTTCCATGGGTGCAGTGCGTGCGGAAGCCATCCTGAGATTTTCCGAATTGTGCAATAACCACCGAAGGTGGTTTATACTGACAGTGATTCAACATTAAAATTGTGTTCTAACTTTATTTCTTCTCCCCTTCAATTGTCCTAGTTTTCTCTCTCTGCCAGCATTTCTTTCTTCTAAGGCAAGATGACCTTGCCAGTCTCTGCAATTGGATTTGAAGGCTATGAGAAAAGGCTTGAGATATCATTTTTTGAGCCTGGCCTCTTTGCTGACCCTGGAGGCAAGGGTCTCCGATCTTTATCCAAAAAACAATTGGATGAAATTCTTGAACTAGCTGAATGCACCATTGTGTCATCATTATCAAATGATCTAGTTGATTCATACGTCCTTTCTGAATCTAGCCTCTTTGTGTACCCTTATAAAATCATCATAAAAACCTGTGGGACTACAAAATTGCTTCTGTCAATCCCACCCACTCTCAAGTTAGCAGAAATGCTTAAACTTGCTGTGAGATCTGTGAGGTATACTCGTGGAAGTTTTACTTTTCCTGGGGCTCAGCCATTTCCGCATCGTAACTTCTCTGAAGAAGTTGCTGTCCTTGATAGCTATTTTGGCAAGCTTGGTGCTGGCAGCAAGGCTTACCTGATGGGTGGTGCGGAAAAGTCGCAGCAATGGCATGTTTACTCTGCTTCTGCTGAATCTGCCAACAATTCAGACCCTGTTTATACTCTGGAGATGTGCATGACGGGTTTGGACAGAAAGAGGGCATCTGTCTTCTACAAGACTCAATCAAGCTCTGCAGCTGTGATGACCGAGTCCTCCGGCATAAGGATGATTCTTCCGAAATCTGTCATATGTGATTTTGAGTTTGATCCTTGCGGTTACTCTATGAATGCAATTGAGAGGGATGCAATTTCTACTATTCACGTAACTCCAGAAGACGGATTCAGTTATGCAAGTTTCGAGACAGCAGGTTATGACTTTAAAGTTATGGATTTGGCCCAACTGCTTGAGAGGGTGGTAGCTTGCTTCGAACCAACTGAGTTTTCTGTAGCTTTGCATGCTGATATTGGAGGAAAGGAACTTGGTTCCGATTTCATTCCGGATATTAAGGGATATGGGCGTGGAGAAAGGAGCTACGAAATGCTCGGCGAGGGAGGGTCAGTCATTTACTGCAGCTTCACTGGCGGTACTGGTAGCTGTGGGTCTCCCAGGTCAATTCTGCAATGCTGTTGGAGTGAGAATGAGGATGAGGAAGTGGAGAAGAAATAGTCTTTTTTCTTGTAGTCATTTTTCTTGAATTATCGTTTAGTATTGTATTGAGAGTCGGGTCATAATAAAGGCTTATCGTGTCTGGCCATTAATCTAGTGTATTGTTGAGACCTATTATTATAGTTGTTTTACTTTTGAGGTAATTGAGATTTCGTACTATTATTTGTCTTTTGAATATATGCTGTTTAATGTTTTATTATGAAGGAAAATACTATGTGCATAAAAGACTGCAATCAATGCCCTTGTACTTGCTTATTATCTGGTTTCTGGCCAAAAACACAATGATATTGTTCTCTATGAAATTGAGTGCTGAGGACTTAGATTGTTAACCCATCGTTGACCTCTATCGGTGTAGAATTACATAACAATACGAAGTTGAGTTAGGTTGAGATGAATCTAGCGGCGGTGGTACTGGGTGCAAGTGGCAAACAAAGTAATCCTTTTCAGCTCCAACGTGAGAACATTACCAGGACAAAAAGAACACTGCTTCCACGATGTTTGGTCTTCTTGTACCCAGGTTCTGGAAAGAAATGCCAAATCCAAAGTAGAGAGAGCCCAAACATCTGCTTATGCAGGGGATGAAAAAACGAGTATACTTCGCATTTGTGGCTCGAAGCTGCAGCCACCTGTTTCATAGAATCTTAGGACGTGTTTGGTTTTATTCTGTAAAATTGTTTTTTGTTCTCAAAATTTTAAAAATACTCAAAATCTATTTACTTGCATTTTTATTCTCAAATTTTTGGAAAAAAATGAGAATTGAAGCAAAAAAATAAAAAACAAGTTATACTTGTTTGCAGAATTTTCTTTAAAAACGTTGAAAACACGAAGATAGTTTTGGATGTTTAACGAGGTTTGTCCTTCGAGTCCCCTTAGCAGTAAAAGACTTCTTTCTTTCCTTTCTCTCCCCAATGTCTTCTTCTCCAGCGTCTCCATTGCCCCTCTCTCTCTCTCTCTCTCTCTCTCTCTCTCTCTCTGTGCAACGAAGATGGAGTCCTTCGCTTAGGGCCTGTTTTCTCCATCTCCTCTCTCTCTCTCTCAACAATTAAAGTTCAGATCTACATATATCTGAATCTGGGTCTAGATCTGTGTGTCTGTTCTTGTGTGTGCACGCACGCAAGTATGGGTTTTGTGAAGACAAAGAGAAGAGAAAGAAAGATAGAGATGACAATTGTGTGTTTTGTGAATTATTGCCCAAATAGATTTTACAACTTTTTGTTCTTTAAAACTATATTCAAAAATATATAACCAAACAGATTTTGTAATATAAAAATTTTCAAAAATATTTTTTTTAAAATTTTTCTCAAAAACTATTTTTTAAGATGCGAATCAAATAGACCCTTATCTTTTCTAATAAAGCACCGCAGATTATGATGTGAAATCTAATACGTGATTCTGGCAACCCACCAGAAAATTCATGGGAGGTGAGGGTCCTGATCTGTTGTGGTCTCTGTAAGTTTGCTCCAATAAAACTTCATGCAACAGTTCTTTGACTCGATGAACCCGAAACTAAGTAGTTGAGTGATATGTACGATAACCATTCCCACATGGACAATTACAATTGCTACAATGCAAGCGACCCCCCAGCAGGACATTAACAAGACTTGTGCTTCACCTGAATATGGTACTTACACGACAATAAATTATACAGTAGGTCACTTGTTTAATCTTCTCAACAACTGGAAAAAGCGCGGGGAAGATGGAAAAAATGAAACAAAACAAAACTGAGATCGGCAATTCTTATGTCAACAAGATTAATTCCTCAACTTGCAACAATTGTATGATACCACCTAGCAATAGAGCTTTGTTCGTAAGTCGTTCGCCAACATTACTTCTTTTCCTTATATTTGGGATCGTTGTCACTTGGCAGCATTCAGTAAGGTCGAAACTTCCTTGCCGCTCTTAACTGCTGTATCCGCTTTTTATCTTGCTCGAATTTGCTTTGCAGCATCATAATCTCTGCAAAGAATATAAGTACTATTATAGTTTGTATCCCTATATACAAGTGTTATGAAGATGGAGAAGAGGATGAAAAGAGCGGTTAACAGGGATAACATCTTCTAAAGCCATTATATAAGGAAACAGAAATAGCTAGAAAATATAGTGATGCACCAATGAGGCATGTTCGGAGCAGTCAAAAGGTATTTGCACACCAAAAAAAACTATGGAAACCATCCTTAGTATCTATCATTGAGATAACTAGACAGTCTTTGCAGAGAAGAACCACTTAATGTCAACAAAATGCTTTCTTATTTATGAACAGTCATTATCTAAGCCAGCAAATAATTCATAGCAAGGACACCCAAGTAGAATGTACAGAATGCTGAATCAACTTAACATAACCAACTTAGGTTGATAACACCCACAAGTCCAGGAAGAAATTCCACTAAACTCCCAATACATTATGCATCTGGACTGCAAACACACCAAAATGAAGAACACTAGTGGCAAGAATCTCCAAATTTGCTCAAGTAGCCATTGAGACCTTCTAGTTTTCATATTGCTCGCTAAAATAGGTTTTGAAACGGCAGATAAGACAAAAATATAAGAAAAAAAATAGAATTCAAGTAGTTGAGAGCATAGTTATCAAATCGTGTATCGGAAGGCGTATCGTAAGATACAAATATTGTATCGTATCGTGTATCGTATCGTGTATCGTAAGATACGATGCAATTTTAAATAAATAATAAAAATATATATATATACCTTTGAAAAAAAGTCATACACATAAAAAATATAGCATTTCATTAATACTCCACCAACTATTCAAGTTATCAACATAATCCACTACTATTATAATGCAAAGTTCACAACCATAGTTCACTAATTCAAACTTTAAACACCAAAGAGACTTCTAATCCAAATTTCTAACATCCATTTTGAACTCAATCTTCAATTTCAATTGAAAATGCATCATCATCATCATCATTGTGATCGGATGCCAACAAGTCTTCACTTGTCGTTTTTTTTAAAAAAAAATCAGAGCACAAAACGACGTCGTTTTTAAAAAAAAAAAAAAAAAAAAAATTGCACGTATCGTGCGTATCGTACCGATACGTATCGTATCGTAAAAACGTATCGTGTATCGGACGATACAACGCAAAAACGATACATAACTACGATCCGTATCGTTTTAGGGCTGTATCGTAACGTATCGTACGATACGTATCGCGTATCGTACGATACTAACAACTTTGGTTGAGAGGACCACCAGATGTAGTGATAAGATTTAGAAAAATTCTCAACAAAAAGGCATATGTTTCAAGCAAAGCAAAATTATAAACATCAAATGCTCATGTTTCAGAGGCCACTCGAGGCTACTTTTTCGAGCCTTGCCCCTAAACTTGAGCATAAACCTTAACAACACACCTCAACAATCCATGTTTTTTTCAAAGACTTGCAAAACTTGACATGAATGTCTTTTTGGCAATAGAAGTTTCTTTTTTGATGAAACTGAATATTGTAAAGGAACCAAATGAAAATTTAAAACACAAATTAATACCGAACCGGACATACCTAAAAAATATCTCCAATCAAGTATACGAAAAGAAGAAAGAAAATCAAAGTGGAAAATAGAATAATTCACCCGGATTTGCAAACTAAAAAATTTCCTACTGCAAAATTGTCCTAATCCTGAGCTACAATATCAAAATACTAGCAATAAACCTATGCCTGAAGACACTCTGCAATACTAAAAATAAAGCATGGATTGTGCAACATTTATATTTCAAATAGAAATTTAAATTTTCTTTTCCTTTTTTTTAATTACACAATTGAAAATTAAAGTGAACATAGAAAACACAAGTGAGGGTTAGGCGTGAATTAGTAAGGTTATCAAACAATGGGGGGTGTGTTGGTTGAGTTGTCCAACATTAGAGTTCGTAATGAGAAGTAATTTTTGAGCAGGAAATTTCTTTTGGGATGAAGCTTGTACCATTGGGGATCAAAGTAGATGAACATTTGGATCTATCTTGACTGTTGTTGTGTTTTTATAAGTTGAGAATTCAACTTCCTAATTGTAATATTAGATAAATGTCCCAACCATAATTATTAGTATCGAACGATACATCACGATACACCTGAAAAACGATACGCGTCGTGTCCCTATATCGTTTTTGCACCATATCGTACGATATGATACATGACGATTTTGTTTTTTTTTTTTTTTTTGTTTTTTTGAAGCTAAAATGACATCGTTTTACCCTAAGACTTATTTTTAAATTACTAGCCAGTGTTAATAGTTGTGGTTTAAAAAAATAAAATAGAGTATATTGTTAATGTTATTCAATTGAGTTCAAAATTCCTGATTAATATTAAAGTTGTTCAAGTAGTTGATGTTAAAAGTTTGAATTAGAGGTCTTTGCATTTTGATATTACTGAACTAAATTGGGAACTTAAATAGTTTGTGGAATATTAATGAAATGTTATATTATTATGAGTCTAAATTTTTTTTACAAAGGTATATATATATAAATTAAATTAAATTGCGTACATCTTACGATACACGATACGATACCCTATTTTTGAAAAACGATACGCCTTCCGATACGCGATTTGACAACTATGATCCTAACCATGGTCCTCTTCTAATATCTAACTGATGAACATAGAACATTGGTGGAAGACCAAACCAAAATCAATTTGTTTATTAAGTTCAGCTTACCGTTCCTCTGGGCCTCCCTTTTCTGAAAGCGGTAGAAATCTAGCCCCACTTCTTTGCTTTTCTTTTTGGCCATTTTATCCATAACAGCCGCTTGGGCAACAGAACCAACAGCAATTCCACTTTCTGAATCTGTTGTTTTTTTCCTGCCTTTATGATGTACAACAACAGTCCATCCACCTTCTGCAGCTTGGGCTTCTCTTTCTTTTCTTGCCTGTATGTGTCATAAAGAACAGCAGGGGGTAGTTTATTTAGCAAAGGAAATTGGACAATACAAATTCCATGGACCAATACATATACAGACTCCATGGAGATAGATATATGAGGATAAATCAAATGGTGCACAGATTTGATGGAACCACCAATCATCGCACGTAACAGGTATCTACATCAGACAAGTACCTCCTCCTCTTGTGCCTCATGAGTAGTTATAAAGTCGTCAATCCGTTGTTGCAATATCTTCAACCCTGGTCTACTCTGATGGTATTCCGTAATCCATTCTAAATAAATAAAATAGAAAAATGAAAAAAATGGTTATTGAGGATGCTTTTGATAGGCTTAATTTTTGAATATTAAGAGCTGTCAAGGGTATTAACAATATATAGCAATATATATGCACCTAGATGGGGAGGAACGTATAGGATTTATAAATGAAACCGACCCCAAGTAAGTAGAGGCTAGAACCAGGTCTTTTGAGGATGGATTACAGCTGAGGTTATACTTACCAGTTATCACCTATGTCTGGCTAGTCTTTTTTATTTCCCTGAAAGATTGTGCGTGGCTACGATTTTTTTTTTGGATCCCTATGTGTGGCTACATCATGACAGCAAGATGTAAACATTTAGAAAGATATAACCACGACAGGCAAAACCAAGTGTATCTGATAGTAAGAATTCATACTTTTCATTCCTTTAGAGCAGTCGTCATCCCCGGCAAATATTTGATAGACCTCATCTTCTTCAGCGTCTCCTCTTCTTTCCAGTAACTTGACATCTTTCCTTGATGATAACTGATCCTTCTTTTTCATTTTATGAGCTTTTTTTGACTTACCTACAGAAAAAGAAAAGTATGGATACTAATACATGTATTAGAGTTGCTATGTAATTCCAAACCATTTCTGCAGTTTAAAAGATTTTGTTACTAAGATGATTCAGTTATTGAGGGGTTTTGAAGCTTGTTCCAATACCAGCCGCATGCCTCTCAGAACTTCCAATCTGCCTCGTGGTTTCAGAGTAGATTGCCCCCATTACTTCATCGGGAAGGAAATTGTAGCCAGTTTAATGTTTCATGAAAGAGAAAGACTAACATGACTTACAAACGATCATCATTCTGTATTACCTCTAAAAGCAAGTGGCAGTTGAAAATCTGTAACACTAATGATTTATCACTTTGACCCCAAAAATCCTACTTGGCCTAGGAAAACTTTACCCTCCCTACAGCTTCATAACAGAGAGCAATGCTATCTGGCCTTTACTAGATTTATTTTGGATGTACAAAACAACTAGAATTGTATTTGTAGACAAAATGATCAAACCAACAGATAAAGCATCATAGTAGAATTTCAAAAATGGACAATCTAAAAAGATAAAACAAAGGATCATATCTAGTTCAAAACAAGCTAAACCCAAAACTTTCAGAGTACATACTATTGTTATATTGTCTTGTGCGTTAGTCATTTAGGTAAAACAAGAAGAACAATAAAAATACAATCAACACTAGAATCTTTTTCCCCTACCATTTTTTGAGTTGGCGATGTCTTTAACATCATTACAAAGCTCATCCACTTTGTCAACCTCAGCTTTCTCTAATTTCTGATGTTTTCTTTTCTTTTTCCTTGATATGCTCCTTTTCTTTTCTTCCACTTCATTAGCAACATTGTGTTCATCAAAGCCACTTTCCCATTCATTATGGAGTTTATCAACTTCTACAGGCATTGTTTCCTTAATGATCTCATTTTTCCTTTTCTTATTCCCCAACACTTTGCTCTTTCTCTTTCCTCTGTCAACTTCATCTGATTCATCTGGCTCAAAGTCACAAGAGTTAACCAATATACATGAGAACATAAACACAAGAATGAATTCCATAAACAAAACATACACATTGACAATAAATGCACCTTTCATATGGAAGTGGTGAACTTCTTCACTATCAACTTTGTCACCTTCATTCCTGCTTCTTTTCTGCCGTGAAGATTTGTTTTTTTTCTTTCTTTCCTTAAAACTATTCAAACTTTCCTCTTTAAACAACAAAGGGTAAGTATTAGCAGTCCTTGTTAATAAATTCCTGGACAACTGGAAATGAGTATGCTTAAAAAGAATGATGGAGGTCATGTAGTTTTGATTAATAAGGAATGACAATAATATTCAGTCTGATACCACCATTACCCATGGCTGAATCCAGCTACTTTGACTCTGATGGTTTTTTACAATGTTTAAGAGAACATTGTTTGTAAATAAACTACATCAATACCACCCAATATTATTGGATTGGAGTAGCTATAAAAGGATCCCTAGTTCTAGGACCCTTTTAATGCATTCAAAACACTACACAATTTAAATAACAATAACAAATGAAAAAAAAAAACAATAGGTAAAGTTTGCTAAATTGTGTAAGACAAGATAAAATGAATGCTCCCAACTCAGAATTTTTGTAGCGTATAAATCTATCTATTATCCATGTATACATTATACAACATAAAATCCATCTTCACAGTTGCAAAACATCATAAATAGGGACATGGATATGGCCAGAACTGTTCATCCAAAACCCTAGAATTCTACCACAAACCCTTGCCCCCACTCACTTGTATCTTTTATATACCAAACATTTGAAGAGAGGTTTGATTGAGAAGTAAGAGATCACAAATTCATGATCAAACCCACAAAAGACAACTCGAAGAATAAGAAAGGGTTAAAGAGAAAAGGGCATTGAAGAAACGATACCGCTTCCAACAAGATTTGAATTTCTCATCTTATTTTTTTCCTCCTTGTTCTTGTCCTTCTCTCTCTTCAATCCAAGTGGTTTCGATAATCTATCAACAGTTGCTCTCTTCAGCTTCTTCCATGAGTCCTCTATTGCCATCTCTCTCACTCTACTAAGACTTCTTTGCTAACTCTGCAAATGTGAGCTGTAAACCCTTAGAATAATAGTTTTAAAAACCGGCCCGGACATCAACCCGAAAAAAGGACTAGGTCAATGGGTCACTAATTCAACCATAGTTGTAAAACCCGGCCTGGTCATCCCGAGAAAGAGACCGGATCACTGGTTCAACCGGCTGGATCAGTTATTTAATAAAATAATAAAAAATAACTATTAATGATCATAAATATGCTAAAAAAATACAATAATTATGAAAATAACACGTTTAATGTATATTAGATCAAACAAAAACCCAAAAAATATCAAATATGTATCCAATGCATCCAATTTCTTAGACAATTTGGAAAGCTAAGTAGAGAAAAATACCTTTATTAAATGTATCCAATTTCCAGAGGAAATTCTGATCTATTAAATGAATTCAAGATTCAACAAGAGACTGATTAATGCAATGTGGTTTCACAACTCTTTATCATTGTTAATACAAACATGAAGATTAACAGTAAAGGAATGCAGCCATTTTTATATTCTATTCGACTGATCGGTCAAACATCTTTGGTGATTTAAGACATTTTTGTTTGGAGAATAGGGTGGTCATTAGTGATCAACCAAGCATGGATTACTACTATTTCTATTCAAAGTTTCAAAAATCTGTTTGTCTGTTTATAACATGGATTACTACCGCTAGTTTGTCACAACACTTAATCACTCTAAATCCAATTATTTATCCAAGAAAAATCCTAAATCACAGCGCAAAATGCCATGAGTCTTATGCTCCACATTTTCAAATGATCTGTTGTTTCGTCAACTAAATAGAAATGAATGATAACATATTTTTGGGTCAGTTGATCCAACCGAAAACTCTGATTTCCCTAAACACCCAAACATGGTAATTAAGAAATAGAAACAACCATGAAGAATACCCAGTGAGATGCTCTTGAAGTTAAAGGCTAATGTCCAATTTCACATAAACAAATAAACAATATGGCAATCAAACAACACTAATCAGTAAGAACTTAGAAGAACATCACTAATCAATGTAAATAATATCACCAATCAGTAAGAAAATTCACCAACACAACTACGGTTTTGTTTTTGTTTTTGTTTTTTTGTAGAGAATATAGAATAGGGTTCTATTATTGAAAGTTGACAGCCAAGATACCTATCAAAAGTATCAAGTGAACGGAGGCGAATCCCTCACCCCTACTTCGATTCAAGCCAGCAATCAGAGACAGAGATGATCGAGATGCTTGCTTGGAGCAAGGGACGAACGAAAGTTCAGTTGAAGACTGTCGAAATCGAATAGCCGCAGAGAAAGAGAGACGAATGAGACTTGAGACGAGCTGCAGAGGCCAGAAAGAGCGAAGAGATAGGAGAGGGAGAGAGAGAGAGATGAGAGGCTGAGTGACAGATCAGATATAATCTCAGTCGTCGAGGTCGAATAGGGGATTAGGGCAAACAAACAATGCCAAAAAATTTCTAATTTATCCGGACGGTTTGCACATACCCATCCGGTTTAAACGGTTCATATAAAATCCACCCGGTGCATCGAGTCGGCGAGTTTAATGCTTGATTGATCTAACCACCGAACCATGACGGTGGTGGAGGACTCCTCCTCAGTCCTGTCCGCCTTCGTACTTTGTCGCTTTGTTGATTTGTTCAACACTTCTATCGAGAGAGAGAGACAACAGGGTTGAACCGTTAAAACTTGACCTAAGAGTCGTTGGACTCCAGATAGGCAAAGATGTGACAAGCAAAAGTAAGAAAAAAAAGTGCAAAACAATTAGGGCAACGATGGCCAAAAGCCCGGTTTTTATAGCCTTTTAACTCATCCATCGGGTTTTGGTCTCATTTTATGCTCAAACGGTCTAATACATTAATCGGTCCGGTTTAGTAACCGGGTTATAGGGTCTGGAAAATCGTTAAGAGGCTGAGATCACCTGGGGCTCAGGAGTTGATAACGGGCTGGTCCTATTTGGTCCGACTGTCAATAGCCCAAGATGATACGGATTGATAAGTGACAATCAATGAGCTTAACCCGTACAAAAAAAAGCCACCGTCTATTCAATTGGGGTGACAATTTTTGATACGACACAAAAATTTGATACGAAACACAATACGAATAAATAAGTTTAGGTTGACTAATTTTTTGACACGTCCCGCGTATGACACGACCCGCCAACACGAAGTATTAATGGATTATGTTCGGGTTCAACCCGTTTAACATGAATTGACCCGTCAACACGAAATTTTTAATTCGAAAGAGATTGACTTGACCTTTTCGTTGCATGTATAAGTTTTCTTGTTTTGATGACTTATTTTTTTCATTACTTCTGATGTTTAATTTGGTTGTATAATGTACAATTAACATATTTAATTAGTATTATATAAATAAAATATTAATTATTTGTAACTGTTTATCAAATATTTACATAATTATTGAATAAAAAAGATATTATTACTCATTATTGTTGTTATTATTATTATTAAGTTAATTTTTAGTTTGTAGAAAAAATATGAGGAGAAATTCAATTAAGTGAAAATAAAATCTTAGAGTTAAATTTTTTATTCAAAGTTTATGTAGGTCAACATGAATATGAACACGAACACGACACGAAAATAAACAGGTCAACTCGACACAACACGAATAGTTAAATGGGTTGGGTATAAGTTGACTAATGTTCGACATAACACGACTCGATTGTCACCCTTATCTCCGATAGCCAATTTCCTCCTAAGTCCTAGTAACAGTTTTTTTGGGTTAATTTTTGTTTTAACCCTATCTAATTATTATTCATATTGATTTCATAACTTCTCTTTTTATGTGAATTTTATTGGAACATTGTGTCCAATATGGTAAACCAAGGATTATAATTTTGTTTTAATACATTGTTTTAATCACTCATAGTCAGTCAAAAACTTTAACTCATAGATATGCATCATTATTTAATTTCCAAAATTTACTCGTAAAAAAAAAATAAAGTAGTTCATAAACTAGTCATATTGATGCCTTTTGTCACATAACAAGTCCTCCAAGATCAGCTATATTTGCTAACACATGGCAAGAGCCTCTTTCCATTGATCTGACTCAGTCAGAAACTCCTAAAAACCTTCACCTCCAACTGATCGAACAATGGATTTTCTCAACAACTTCCTAGTCAACCGGCAAAGAATAACCTCCCAACTTGATTAAGTGCTGACACTTGTCAAGTTTTTCTTTCTTGCCAGCATTACACGTGTGTGTCAATCATCCAGTGGGTTTCAAACACTATAAAATATGGGTTTTGGCTGCTATGAGAACTCGTCAAATTCCAGAGTACAGTTCCCAAAAAAACAGTTGCCTAGCTAGTGTGTTTGTTTAGTGTTCACATAGAAAGAAACCGAGAGATGGACCATAATCAGAGCATGAGTTACCAAGCTGGTCAGGCCAAGGGCGAAGCCCAAGTGAGCATACTTTTTCTTTTATATTCACTCAGTTCATATGCCTTTAAAATGCATGTGATAACACCCCCCCCCCCCGGCACAGTTGGTTTCGAGTTTCGATGGTCGAACAATGGTGAGGCATAAACTCACACATTCCAAATTCAACTTTCTTTGACGGTATAAAATTCACAGTTTAATGAATTCACGTGATTTTGAGTGATTGCAGTCACTTAAGATCTTATAAATTGGTTCCTTATATATTGTTGTGGCTTTACCATGATTTTATTTTTTAATATGCATTCTGATATAGATATATTGATAGAAATGTGTTTTATTTTTTGTTTCAGCAAAAGGGCAGCCAGATGATGGACAAGGCAGGCAATGCAGCCCAATCTGCCAAGGAATCAATGAAGGAGGTTCATTATTTTTTTGTTGGGTTAATTACAAAATATCCCCTTTAAGTTTAGGTCACATTCAATCAACTCCCTTTAGTTTTAATTTTAATAATTTACCCCCTTAAATATTTGTAAATTAATTCAAGCCGTTAATTTTAACAGTAAAAATGATAGAAAGCATTCATTTGCAACTCACATGATATCAAATTCTACGAAGATACAAGATCACCCTTTACATCATTTTGTCTTGGAGATAAAAATGAGGAATCTTTTGATGTTAGGAAAACTTTTTGAATTCAGGGTAATTTTCCCTTTTCAATAAATCTATGATCATGTGAATTTTTCATTGTCGAAACTAACAATTTGAGTTAATTGAAAAATGTACAAACTTTGAGAGGGGTAATTTGTTGAAATTCAAACCATAGAGAGTTGATTGTAACTTGATCCAAACTTGAAGGGTGCATTTTTTAATTGACCCTTTTTTTGCCCTTTAAACCAATGCACCAGAAAATTTTTGTCCAAATGACCCATTTTCAACACAAAGCTTAGATTACCTTTGGCCACAAGGAGGGGTTTTTTATAGCTAGCACTGCCGTATAAACCAGATTCTTAAACCCAATGGCAAAGGTCATGCTTAAGCTTAACCTCCAACTAAACCCGGCGCCTTGGCAAATTGGCAACTTTCTAACAACTTAGTTACCCATCAACCAGCTGAGATTGCCCGAATGCTACCTATATTTGTTCGAGATCATAAACTTCTGCAACTCTTTGTCTTGCATAAACCTCATATTAACACTTTAAATTTGTGATGTGGTGTTTAATTACTTGTGATATTATGTGTAGGCTGGTCAGGAGGTGAAGGCTCAGGCACAAGGGGCAGCTGATGCTGTTAAGAATGCAACTGGGATGAACAAATGAACCTGAAAAACATCACTCCCCTCCTTTCTCAACCATTTTATGCAATTCTCTTTGGTGTTTTTGATTAATTCCTGCTTAGGATTTCTTGCTTTCGTTTAGATAGCAGCCGGTTTTTCGGTTGCTTCGAGCTAGCTTGTTGTTGGCTTGTCCTAAGTCTGAAGAAAAGCAGAGGGTTCGTTGATGAGAACCTGAAATAAACTTTGAAGGCATGAGATTGTGTTTTGAGAAATTTTTGTGCTCGTTTCTTCATACTAGTTTGTGGCTGTTTTGGTAGTAATCAATTTAGTGGCTAATTGACCCATGTGAGGTTAGGCTCTCTACTGTTACTTTTTAACAATAAAGGTGAACATCGCTCAATCATCTCATCACTTCTTTTGATCAATAGCAAAACGATATTGTTTTAATCAATAATATTTTTACTGTTTAAGAACACGTTTTTGTTCCAATATATGTTCACTTAATACAGTTCCCGACTACCCTTAAGGGATAAGACTAGCTCAAATAGAAAAGTCTCACGAGTTATTATTGCATGGTCCCAAGTTCGAGTTTTATAATGGATTGCATTAAATCAAGTGATGAGATCATTGGGCGCCATGTAGCATAACGTAGTAGTACAACATAACCACGGGACTTCATTAAAACTTGGACGGTGCACCCAAAAATGAATAAAAGCAGTGAAATTTCAATTGAATTGAATGTTACTGATTAATCGAAGTGCATGTAAGTAAATTTGGATACCCATGACCTTAATACTAAAAAAATAAATACTGTAAATGCATTCAATTCTCTTGACCCGGACGATATATAGACCCTAGGTTTATGTCATCAAATAGAGCCTTGGTCAACAAGAATTTTATAATGTAAATGAACTTGTGAGCTCGAGATACTTACAATAAAATCATGTCATTCTGAACTATCCAGTCTAATTGTGGTTTACTAAATTCTTAATACATTACAAACACATTTGTGTGAGGTATTAAAGGATTAGACTAAACTAAATTTGTCCAATAATCATTTAATATTATGTTTGAATTAAGTTATAAAGTTTAGTATACAAAATATTTTAGTAAAGACATGATTCTAAAGTGTCATCTAATACTTCATACTTGGTATAAATTAGTACTATAAAATAGGTGGTATTAAATGAGCTATGATTGGTATTAATATACAAAATAACAAGAGTATCCTAACATACTAAAGAGTAATATACCTTGATGAAACGTACTTTTATCTTTCTTAACTTAATACCATTCACTAACACACTCATCCAAACATGATACTTGTATTAAAATAATAGATTCACACCTTATACTAATTTTGAACCAAATATGATATAATAGTGAGAGGATAAAATGGTTGATCCATGATTACCACCACTATAATTAAAATAGAATTAATTGCTCAATCTTAATCTATATTATATCCGAACCAATCATGCCCTATGGGCTCGTTTGGTAGCGTATTATGAGGTGATTAAATATTCAATTGCTTAATATTTTGTTTGGTAAGCAATTTTGAGTTTGTATTAATTTTAAAAACGTATACTAATTGTATGTTAATTTAACATTAATACGATGTAATAATTTTTTAACCAAACAATGGATTGGACTAAATAACTACTATCCAACGTTTATATTGTGTATGTCAAACACTGAATAAAATTACGTATTATTCTAATACCTCATTTAATCTTATATTTTATCCATCTGTATTGTATTAGCATATATTACTTTATTTAATTCGTTTATTTTTAATACGACAACCAAACGAGACTTATGTGATTGAATCCTTCTCCCTGTTTTGAAGCATCCAAAGGTTTTCCAACGGTTGGAAAAGGACAAGTTAAGCAGCCATTTTACTCTAGATTCCTGATCAGACCAATGATTTATTTCGACCAATCATGAGAATCGAGCGACACTCGAGACAAACTTGAGTTGGAGAAAAAATTAACAAGCTATACTTGAATAAGATTTTTGAACCTTATTACGTTCCTAAGCTGAACCAGAGTCCTCTTCGCAAATGAACAAAACAAGCTCAAATAATCTAGTGTTTGACTCAATTCGATTCATTTGCATTTCTAAGTAACGCTATTTAGGTTCGACACGGTACTTCACGATGCCAAATCTCTCTCAATCCCTAAGATATAATAAAATCTCATTGGATTGCCGATAACATTGATCAAATTAGGAAAGAATTAATATTGGAATTGATTTAAATCCCATCATATATTACTTGAATGTTTGAAGCAGATGTTAGCAGTTGGTCTAAGAGCAACTCTAACCCTGCTCAATAAAATAGTCAGTCAAAATATATTTAAATATTGTATTATCTATTCTAATTAGTCATTTGTTTAAATTCACTCTAAACAAACTCTCTATTTTAGCTAACTACTTTAACTAACTTGAACTAATTTTTAATAATATAATTCAAAAATACCCCATAGAATAAAAATTTAATTTAAATTTTTACAAATATTTGCATTAATATTTCGTAGGTTCTAAAATAAAATGTTTTATTATACAAGGGGATTTTCAGAATTTGGGTTTTATAGAAGGGGTTCTGAGAATGGGTTTAGGGGAGGGAGATTTGCAACTTGGGGTGGGAGAGGAAGAGATTACCTAGACCAATCATGGAGAAGACGATGAAGATAGAGGCAAGATCACTACCAGCAACAACAAAGAGCAGCCAGAGGAGGGAGAGATGAAAACCTGGTTAACAGTTGAAGAACTTCTGTACGTAACAGCAAGGAGCAGAAGCAGCAAGTGGCAAACAATTTCTCCTCTCCAAATCTGGCGAGCAAATTTGACTACTTAGATTTTGGCAAGGTAGCAATAGCATTGGAGTTACTTTAATAGTCACCGCTCTCCCTAGTGAACCTTAAAGTCGTTATTCAAACCTCATCATCCCTTTTTTAGACCCAAAAAAAAAAAAATGTTTGAAATAGGGCAGCACCAAAAGTAACAAGCCCATGGCCATGGTGTAGTCCGGGTTTCGAACCTTCATGCAACCACCATTTTCATAGATTCCTCGGACCCCAAATCAAAGCCCAAAGCCCAAATCTTCTTCTCCATCTGAGCTAAGCCACAACCGATAAGCATCCTCCTCCTCCATTTCCGAAACCCTAAACCTCGCAGAAAATGAGAAATCAATGGCGTTTTGCTTCTTCTCTGCCGCCACTCTCGAGCTCAACCTCACATTTCCAGGCACTTGTCTCAGTTTTCTGACTCTGACTTCCAGGTAAACTCTCTTCGCTTCTTCTCTTCCTCACTCCTCCACTCACTTGCACCTCACGTGCCCCTACCACCATTCATTTCCCAACTTCAAAACCTTCCAAGCCCCAGCTTCCGCTATTTCTCATCCTCTGAACTTGCCGTTGAACACAAAAACGCTGATGAGGTAGTGCTAGTAACTGATATTTTCTCTAAAGGATATGAAACTACTGATGAGATGAAGGTCGAATTAGAGTCCAACAATGTCGTTATTAGCCATGAATTGGTGCTAAAGGTTTTGCAGGATCTTAATGCAGCCCCCGAGGTTGCTAAGAGCTTTTTTGATTGGGTTTCAGAGAGAGAAAATGACAGATTGAGCTCAAAGTCGTATAATTTGATGTTGGGTATGTTGGGTGTGAATGGGTTTGTGAATGAGTTCTGGGATATGGTTGGAATTATGAAAAAGAAAGGGTACGGAGTGTCAAAGGGTACATTTAGTAGGGTTTCTGAGAAATTCGAAAAGGAAAGAATGGGTAGTGACTTAGAGAAGTTGAAAGAATTGTATGCATCAGGGTCGGTGGATAATTCAATTGAAAAGGTTTGTTCTAGGGTTTGTATGGTTATTTGACAAGAAGTGTAGGGGCATAATGTTGAAAAGCAGTTAAAAGAATTGAATGTTGTGTTCTCGAGTGATATAGTTGCATTGATATTGGAAGTGAACCGAATAAGACATTGATATTCTACAGGTGGATTGAGGAAAGTGGCTTGTTTAAGCATGATGAGCGGACTTATAATGCTCTGGCATTGGTGTTGGCTAAGGAAGATTGTGTTGAGAAGTTTTGGAGGGTGATCCATGAAATGAGGGGTGGTGGGTATGAAATGGAGAAGGGGACATACATTAAGGTTTTGAGACAATTTGTTAAGAGGAAAATGGTAAAGGATGCTGTGGATTTTTATGAGTTTGCAATGACCGGTAAGACTAAACCTTCTGTTCAGGATTGCACTTATCTTTTGAGGAAAATAGTGGCTAGTAAGGAGCTAAATATGGGTTTGTTTATGAGAGTTGTGAGGGTATTTAAGGATAGTGGGAATGTGTTGACGAATTCAACCATTGACGCTGTTCTCAAGTCTTTAACCAGTGTTGGAAGAATTGGGAAATGCAATAAGATATTGAAAGCACTGGAGGAAGGTGGCCTCTCAGCTTGTGATCCAATGAAGGGGAAAATTGCCTTTCAGCTTAGTAGTCGGGGGAAAAGGGTGAAGCGAGCGAGTTTATGAATAATATGGAAGCGTCTGGGCATAGCCTGCATTACAAAACGTGGGCATCTTTAATTGAAAGACACTGTATAGCTGGTGATCAACAAAGCTTCTGATTGTTTCCATAAGATGGTTGATAAAGAGGGAGCTTCTTATGCTGGGTATGTTTTAGAATTGTTGGTTAATGCATATTGTCGTAAGAACTGGGCAATGGATGCGTGCAAGCTTCTTTCTGATGTGGTCAATGAGAAAGAGTTGAAACCTCGGCATAGTACATACAAACTATTGCTGAGCAAGCTTCTTGTTCAGGGGAGGTTTAAAGAAGCTTTAAATCTTCTAGTTTTGATGAAAAGTCAAGGGTATCCTACTTTCTTAGATCCATTCATCGAGTACATTTCAAAGACTGGAACTACTGATGATGCTGATAAGCTTTTGAAAACTATGACTGTCAAGAGTTTCCCAGCTACATCAGTGTTTCTTCGTGCATTTGAAGCATATTTTAAAGCTGGAAGGCATAATGAAGCACAAGATTTCCTCTTAAGATGCCCCGAGATTCATCCGTAACCATGCTGATGTTTTGAATCTCTTTAATTCCATGAAGTCTTCTCACAAAGCTGCTGCCGTTTCGGTTTTCACTCCTTAGATTGACAGGAGGTGTATCTTTTAGTTTATTTTATGGTGATAAAATGTAGGCCATTTCTTTGAATATACTGAAACATTTTCACTCTTCCCTCTGTTAATTTTTCGATTCATAGTGCATAATGCATTTTAATCTTCTACAAATAAAATCCAGAGATTTGAGTTACTCTGGGCTATTTTCCTGCATGCATTCACAGTTGTCTATGGTGTTGCAGTTGGTCAAATAGTGGACTTTGATAGGATTGAATAACTGAATTTATTGGGTTCGTGTATGCTATTCTATCTGAAGTTTGAAATAAGCATGTTGGTAGCATGAACTGACAACCAAACTCAGTTTCTTCCGAACTATTAACTTTGCTCCCAAAGATGTGTGTGCTGCATTCTCTTTGCCGCTGGTAATGACTCCACATTGCAGTTGCCCTCTCAAATGCAATCCAGTTTGGACTTCAAAATCTTTTTTTTTTTTTTCCCCCAGTTCCTTGAGTCTTTCTCACAACTAGTTTTCAACATTTTTTATTTCAAAAAGTAAAGCCCTAGAATATTACCCTTTCAACTGAACATGCGCTTAAGCCCAAAGCTTCAGATTGTCATACTGACCGCGATTTTCTAAAAGTCAAGAATTTTTGTTTGGATTCTAAGTTTGGATTTTGTGTAAGAGTAGTGGTATAAGCTTGGGAGTCGTTATTATCTGCTGGAGGGTATCATAGCTCATCAAAATCTCGTTTATTGTCTAAAAGCAAGAGGATGAGCTTGAATGCAAAACAAGCTGTAATTTTTCTTCTTTGTAAAACAAATCCAGATTATATTAGTGGGAGGAAGGGTTGGAGTGAGAGTAATGTTGCTCCAGAATTTGCATGCAATTTCGTGGAGTAGGTTTCTCAAGGGTTTGAAAGGTGATTAGACTACCGGTATTGAGAATGCAGTTGCAGACAATTTATGTGGACTTAAGGTATGTTCTCCATTGATCTGGACCAGTATGTTGTTACTTATAAATTCAACCAGTATTTTTGATGCCTTTAAAACTGAACTAAATTAAGCTTTGATATCATTATGGTGAAGCAAAGACCCATTTAAGCCAATTGAGTACTAGACAAACGCATGTAGGAGGGTCTGTGCTTTCCTAAACCATAATATTGATGTGATTGATTGCTAAATTCAATTGCAGGAAGAAGAAAA